AAAAAAAAATCTGCAAAGGACTTGAATAGACATTTTTCCAAGGAAGACATACCAATGACTAAGTATATGAAAAAGTGCTCAACATCATTAATCATCAGAGAAATGCAAATCAAAACCACAAGGAGATATCACCCCCCACCTGTTAGCATGGCTGTGATAAAAAAAAGGTAGAAAATAACAAGTGTTTTTGAGGATATAGAGAAAGGGGAACCCTTGTACACTGTTGGTGGGAATGTAAATTGGTGTAGCCATTACCGGGAAACAGTATGGAAGTTCTTCAAAAAATTAAAAATAGGCTGGGTGCCGTGGCTCATACCTGTAATCCTAGCACTCTGGGAGGCCGAGATGGGAGGATCACTGGAGGCCAGGAGTTTGAGACCAGCCTGAGCAAGAGCGAGACTCCATCTCTACGAAAAATAGAAAAAATTAGCCGGGCACGGTGGCGCATGCCTGTAGTCACAGCTACTCAGGAGGCTGAGGCAGGAGATAGCTTGAGCCCAGGAGTTCGAGGTTGTGCTAAGCTATGACCAAGCCACTGCACTCTAGCTAGGGTGACAGTGTGAGACTCTGTCTCAAAACAAAACAAAACAAAAACTCTCAAAAAAAAAAAAAATAGAACTGCCTTATTATCCAGCAAACCCACTTCTGGGGTATATGTCCAAAAGAAATGAAATCAGTATCTTGAAGAGATATCTACACCTCCATGTTTATTACAGCATTATTCACAATAGCCAAGATACAGAAACAACCTAGGGTCCATTGACACACAAATGGATAAAGATATAAATGGAATGTACATGTTTATATACGCAATTGAATTTTATTCAGCCATAAAAAAGGAAGTCCTTCTATTTGTGACAACGCGGATTATCCTAGGAGACATTATGCTAAGTGAAATAAGTTAGACACAGACAGATACTGTATGATCTTATATGTGGCATCTAAAAAAGCTGAATGTGTAGAAACAGAGTACAACAGTGGTTGCCAGGGGCTGAGGTGTGGGGAAAATGGAGAGATGTTGATCAAAGGGCCTACAACTTTCAGTTATAGGATGAACAAGTTCTGGGGATCTAATGTACAGCATGGGTAGTGATGAATGTGTTAATTAAAAAAAAAAAAAGAAATTGGATCACTGGAATAATGCTGAACTTTGCCTGTGGAATTTCATGAATTATTTCCCAAAAAAGGTGTCATTTTAGCTTTTGGCTAGTCTTGGGAAATGTATAGATGTTTTCAGTCTATGGGTGGTTAGAAACAGTCCAGAAAATTGGAATATAAAATGTGTGGGAAATGAATTAGACATATGCTTACATTCTTGACAATCCTTATTAGCATGTAATTCTCTGGAGAGGAAGGAGACCATTTCTTTTGTCTTGGTATACTCAGCAGTGCTTAAACCTGTCCCTTCATACAGTACCATGTTTATTGTTTTGTAAAGTTCAGCCAGAGAGTGGAATATGCCATGGATATAATAGCTGACTCTTCAGTTAGTAAACATATATTGAGCACCTACCATGGATTAGGCCTTACGGGAGCATTATCAAGAATGAGTCCCAGTCCCTGGCTTCAGAATTGTGGTTGAATGAAAGAATCAGTTAAGTAGACAGAAAACTGTAGTATATGTGATTGATGGGTATATGCCCACAGGAGGAGAGCTAGCTCCATTTGGAGGGTGATGTGGCGTTTGGGGGCCTCAAAAAAGTGACTTCTGAGCAAAGATTTGAATGACAAGTAGGAGTTGACTTGAAAGAGGGCAACCATTACAGTAGAGGGAACACCATGCACAAAGTTACATATTCAGAGAATAGCAAACAGTTTCTTATGAAGGGTGGCAACAAATAATGGTACAAGAGGAGGCTGAGAAGTGGCTGGGACTGGGCCACAGAGGGCAATTGTGTCATGAAATGTCTAGATTTTATCCAGCAAAGGCAATGGTTAGTCACTGGAATGCTGGTTGAGAAAAATGTTTTTCAAAGAGCAGGTTGTACTCCATTCGTGGATTGTAAAATCAATTTAGTGAATTGGGACCACCATTTTAAAAAGGTGAACAAGAAAAGAGTAGAAAATATTAGTGTGTATCATATTTGTAAAAGTAAATCATGTTTTGTGAAGATTTTGTTTCAATTATTTATGTTTGTGAATATTATGTTCTGATGTAAAATATTTTTTTATTTGTGGGTCATAGTAAAAATCTTTTTTACAAGCATCAATGGTTCGATGTTACACAAATTAATGTATTGAATTACTTTCCGTAGCAATTAACAGAAAACATAGACTCAAATGGGAATAATCACCAAAAAGATTATTTCAACATAACCAGGATTACAGTTTGGGAGCTCCAGGTACTATAGTTTTAGTTGTTCTAATCTGCCATCCTCGGTGTCATCTTCAGCCCAAAACCAGTTCCCCAGTGGCACTTAGAATAACATGCTGACTTACTCTTATCCAGCAGAATAGAGTCTGGATTCTCTCACTGCCTTGAATTAGTGTAGGCCTGCCCAGCCCAAACGCATCAACAGCAAGGCGATGGAAATATCATGATAGCTTTAGACTAATCTAGGGTGGATGTTTGGGAACTAATCCACTGTAGGGAACTGTAATGCAATGTGATACATGCAGTGTGATTATGGAAACATTGCAGAAGCACCTAGATTGACATAGTAATGATCTCAGGTGTGGGGATGGTCAGGAGAGCCACTCAGGAGATGCCAAATTTGGGTGTAAGTTACATAGGTAAAAAGGGAAAGACTCTCCCCTCACAAAAGGTGGTAAGGGGACCTGTGCACAGGGAAACAACCAAAATGACTTTTAGGCTTCTGGAGCATAGAATTGGAGGCAAAGGAAGTAGCTAGAGTACTGAGCAGATGCCTTATCAAGAAGAGGAGTCACGTTAAAGAATCTGCACTTTTTCCCATGGGAAATGAGTGACTAGAGATTATCAGCAGGGCAGTAAGATGATCAGACTTCTATCACTACAGCTGCTGTGTGGAGGGAGGTAAGTTAGAGGCTACTGCAGTAATGCAGGATAGAGATGTCTTGGATTTCATATTAGGGAGAAGTGACTGCAGATTTGAGAAACATAATGGAAATAAACTCAACATGATTTGTTAATTCCAATGTAGAATGAGTGGAAGAACACTGTCTCTGACTTTTCTAGTCATCTCCTTTAGCTATTGGGCTTATACTGTGCTAACTGTTAAGACTAAATTTGTTACCTTCTGAGAAGAGAGGCATTACTTTTGTCAACCTTACAGTAAAGAACTATAGCCCAAGACAGGGAACCTTCGAATGTGGTGTGCTCTTGGGTCTGGAATGTATTAAAGAGGTGCCTAGATGAACTTAGGGGAACATTCCACCAACTGAGGTGAAAAGTTATTATTTGTGGGCCAGATTAGTAAAATTCCTGATACACTATATTTTCCTTGTGTTATCCCTAAACCTTTAGCAAATGTTCTACGATTCACGTACTCTGATTTGGGCCAAAACATTAATGGGGATGCATCATTCTTGAGGTCACTGTGGTAGTGATAGTAGCCCATTAGCTTGTGAGTTCTTCAATGGCAGAAGTCATTTCTTCTTACCTCTGTATCCCTATATCTAGTCCAGGGCCTGACATATGGGAAACATTTGATAAATGTTCTATCCACACTGAATAAAATGATGCTGGGGACTAGCAGATGCTTAACATGCATGTAAGGAACTGCCGAGAGCCCCAAGCGAGATATATTTCTGGGGGCTAAGAAGAAAAGCTGTGGGAACACAGCCATAATCCACCTATTGTGGTTTTAAGGAAAGTGCTTTCTCTAGGAGAAAGGGATGGCTCCTAGATATCTAACTGGGGTGAATGTTCAGACTAAGAAGAAAGGAAGAGGGATAAATTTTGGGGGGAGCATTCAGACTTACAGATTCATATGATAAATGTTTTGAGTGTCCAGTATATGTCACTCAAAATGTAAGAGCTTTCAGGCAGTAGTGTGAAAGACAAATTGGAGTAGACAAGAGATGGAGAACCCTGTTGGGAGCAGGTAAGTCTTGGACTAGGGTAGTTGCAGTAAAACAGCACCAGAATAGTTCTGTCACAGAAACTCATGTCTATCTGATAGACCAGTGATCCCTCTACCCTCACCCTTACTTATTATCTCAGACAATGTATGGGTTCGGTGGGCCTAATATACTCTGAAGGTGCAGCCTAAGATAAAATCTCTTCTTCCCACTTTACTGGGGATATGGCTACTGTCAGGCCCTCCTATCAAGTGTTCAGACCAAGGGTGATGGCTCTTCCCAAGTCTTCCCAGGGCTACCACTCTAGCCAAGCCTTCCCAGGGCTACCACTCTAGCCAAGCCTCTGAGCCTAAGGCATGGGCGGCCTGGCTGGGACAAGCCTGCCTTCAGAGTAATTAGAGGATGTAAAGGAGCTCCCAGCTTCTCGAATACTCTAGCCATTCTGAAGCCGGATTTCCCTTTTCTGAGTTTCCAGAGAGGCCCAGATTTGGCAACAATAAAAACTTCCAGGAAATCCCAGCAGGTTTAATTTCCTAACCTGCCTTTCACTTTGACCCTCTCATTCACCCCTCCCCCCACCAAGAGGAAGGAGCTTATTATCCTGGAGCCCAACATCCTCTGCTGAATGCCTCCACCCCTTGGACCAGGGTGGTGGAACATCTGAGTTCTTAGGTCCCCTACTCCAAGGTCCGTTCAGAGGTTGAGCAGAGCACATGAAGGTAATGTGTGATGCTGTGCAGAAACAGACGAATGGTTGTAACATCCCCTGAAGCTTCCTAAGGTACTGGATTGTTTAAGGAAGTTTCACTGGCAGATGTTCACTCCTTACTCCTGTTAGGAAATGCTCTTTCTCTAGGAGATCCTAGGGGCTCACTCTCTCTGAGACTAAATGTCAAAACACAACCACATTTGGGAACCAGTTTAGCATGATAGGATATATGCCCCATCCAAAGTGGCATTAAGGAAAACAACTGTGCTAACCGAAACCAACACAAATCTAAGGACTGGAAACATTAAGCCATAAATTTACTATCGCAGGCAGACTGAGCATTTGGATCGTTCTCATTCTCCAGCAATTACAGGGGAAGGATTAAAAAAAATCCAATTTATATACACTCATATAAGGAATTTTATCTATTGTGCAAACAGGGCCACCTGGCTCCCCAGAAGGTTCTCGGCCCCATTAAGATTGTCCATTTTACAACTCTTAGCTCCAGTTCTTATCAGAGATTAAAAGAGCTCCAAAGATCTGTGATCTTAGGCACCGATACAGGCTGTAGATCCTTCAGATCCAGTTAAGTCCCTGGTGTTTGAGCTGTGTGGGAGCTGTGGACTCTGGCTTCCTGGTTCTGGGCGAGGTCCTGCCGCAGACCCTGCAGCAGCTGATTTAGGAGTGTAAGGTTGCTATCTCTGTGAGGCAGAGGAAGGGGTGGGAGGCAGTTCCCTTTATACTCGATCACTGCCATCTTGGCTCGATCTTGCTCACTCCGATTTGGGATCTGTAGCATTCTTGTGTAGCCCCCATTCTGACCTTGGTACCGAGGGGCCAGTACTTGAAACAGCTTTGGGATCAAGTCCTTCTCCTAGAGGGAGAGAGTTATCCAGGAGACAGCAGAGTCAAGCGCAAGTGCAGAGGCATTTAACTTTCAACCGCTCCCAAAGGTAAGATCCACACACATGTACACAGACCTTCCCCAGCCCCCAATCTGGTAGAGTCAAAGTTACACAAAGGGGTCATTTACAGGCAGTTGGGCAGAGGCATATTCACATACAGTTCAACTAATGTAAGATAACGTTTGTAATTTAGTTCCTAACACTGGTCCATTAAATGAGCAACCTAGCTTAATTCCACCCAATTTCCCTCCTCCAACAACTCTGTCCTCCACAGGGAGCAAAGGGTATGATTTGAGAGGCAGAGAGGACGCACTCACCGTGAGCCAGAAGTCAGCCATGCGCATGGCTCGTTCGTTGGTGTCTCCCAGCTTCCCAAAGTCGATGAGCTGTGAGGACAAAACATCGAGGATCCAACCCAAGCAAGAAGCAGGGCGCCAATCTAATTTCTCTAATGCTGGACGGCAATTCATTCACTTAATCTAAGCCCCCTCTTTCTCCGCAGTCCTAATCAGTCTTCCATTTGAGGTGCTCTAGGAGTGGACTCAGCTCAGGGTACTAAGGGATTCAGACTTGGGGAAGAGTTTACTAGGGCGGTCCCACTCCCTTTCCACCAGCAGCGGGACCCCGCCCCCTCAGGCTAGACCCCCGCGGTGACAAGAGGGCCCCGCTCCTCACCTTCTCAGCGTAGCCCCTCATCTCGTCCACACGCGCCCATGACGCCTCGATGCGTTCGTGCCGCACCAGTCCCGTCAGCAAGTTCCGCAACAGGTGGATGCGGGACTCGGGACCAAGGCCCAGATGGCGAAATACGCGACCATGGGAGATGGCGGAGGCGACCGACAGCCGCATGTTTGCTGCTTCTGCCCGCCCCTTGGAGGCCGGAACTGGAAACTCTGGCGGAGGGACAGGGCGGAGCCAATTTCAGAGGACGCAAGCGCTGTAGGTCGGTGCGTGGTGGACGTGTTTGCGCAGGAGCATCGGAGCCTGCCTCGTTGGCAATCTGGGGGAGGGCGGAGAAGACGTGTGTTGACCTTTTCCAGAGCGGGTGAGCTGGGCCGGCTTCAGGCGCCACGAACGCTCCGTGACGGGCCGGAGAACGAGGCGCCACCTAGTGTGGGATAAGCGGGCTGTCGGGTTTCTCTTGTGCTGTTTGAGGCGACTTGTAGCATTTAGGGCGATGGGAATCTCCGCCGCAGAGCCTGCTGGGAAAGTGAGTATCTGCGAGGAAAGGCGCCAAAGGGGTTTGGAGTCCGACAGGCTGACCGCCCTGTCGGGCCAGAGCAGTGGCCGGCTGCCGTGGCGGACACCTGCGCGAATCATTTTTAACAATGATTTTCAGTAGTAATGGTGAAATGAATAATAACGATGGCCAGAAAGGAAACACAGATAGGGAAAACTTTTCTTTTGAAGTAATCATTCCAGTTAGAGAAAAAATTTACAGCGCTAAAAGGAAAAGTAATGGATTAATAGTCTTAAATTGCATCAGTGTATTTATTTTGAAAAAAGGGGAAAACATACCTACACATTTATATGTTAAAATGATGAACACTGGCATTATAGTTTGTTGAGCCTTAACGCCTGCAAATTTACAATGACTGTCAAAATTGGTCCTTGTTAGGGGTTGAATTATATCCCCCTCCCTGCCAAAAGCTATGTCCAGTCCTAACCTGGAGTAACCTGTGGCCTAATCTGGAAATAGGATTATTGCAGTTGTAATTAGTTAAGATGAGGTCATATTGGATTAGTTATTGGGCGCCTAATCCAAAATGACTGGTGTCCTTAAAAAAAGAATGACTGTGAAGAGACACACGGTGAAGGTGACCAGGTGAAGAGAGACATAACAGGGAGAATGCCTTGTGACCTTGAAAGCAGGGATGGGGTTTATGCAGTTGCAAGTCAGTGAATGAACACCAAAGATTGCTGGGAAACACCTGTAGCTAAGAGAAAGGCATAGAATATACTGTTTTCCAGATCCCTCAGAGAGCATGACCCTGTTGCTGACACATTGATTCCTTACTTCTAAGTTCCAGAGTCTTGACACAATACATTTCTGTTGTTTTAAGTCCCACAGTTTGTGATACTTTGTTATGGCATCCTTAGAAAATTAATTCACTACTCACATATTTATGTTCATGTCCACTGAACATGAACGTGTAAGGAGTGAATTAGTATAGATTTGTCACTCTGTCTTAGGTTATAGGTAACCAAAGAACAATTCTTTGTTAATTTAATTTGGAAAAGTTTCATCTTATGAAGCAACAGATATACAAATAGGAAAGTCATAAACATATGGTTATGTTGGCAGAGATTTATATAAATCACACTTCACAGTACATTATAGAAATTATAATACCATCTATGTCTTGTTTCTTTGGGAATAATTCTTGCAGCTTTCAATTGTCTTCACAGTTGAAAAATTTCACTAAGGTATTTTTACCAGAAAATTCATCATAAATTTCTATTGCTAAAAACTTGTGAAGATTTTCTTCTGCAAAAGTCAGAGAAAATGAACATCGACACTGACATTATTTGACCCATTGTTTTAGAAGGTGTGTCTACTTGGTGAAAACAATTGTAGCACAAACACTGTCCTTTTGACTTTCTCTGGCAATACAAGACCATCATCTCTTGTGTCTTCTGGCAGTCTTCAAAATTTTATTATTTTTTCTATGCCAATTTCCTTACATTTTATTTTTGCAGAGTTACTGGCTTTCTCCACAGTCTCTGTGGGCTGATATTCAAGGAACAATTTTAAACCTTGATGTTTTACTGATTTCTGTTGCTCAAGCCTTATTTTGGCTATTTGTGGATGTTTCTGTGTTCAGTTGGCTTCATCTGAAACTTCACATTAATTAAAAAAAAAAACTCATAAAAGAAAAATCCCATATGACTACGATTGTTTTAAATCTACTGTTCTAAAAGCAGGAATATATTGTACCACAGGGACTGGAGTCATGAAATGCATCTGAAGTGAACTTGAAAGATAATTAAACTCTTACGAATTTATGTCCAAAGTAATATGTGCGGCAGAGTTTGTGTAATTGGTAGTTCTCCAAGTTAACTATGTAGAATAAAATATTTTTTAATGCATAAATTAAAAATGTGATAAATTGAAGCCAACATAGATGTTATTGTAACTCAACAGTAACTATGGCAAATGTTTAGGACTTAGATCAACAAAATAATTTTTTGGTGAGGGTTATTATATCACTAACTTTGTCTAGAATTATGTACACAGTGATAATTAAAATCAGACTGACTTTTGGTTTTTTTTTTTTACAGTTTTAAAATTCTTTACAGACAATTCACCTCCTTATTCCTGCACCCAGGCTACGCTCCTCTTACCTCCCACCACTTGGTACCCATTGGCTCTGAGTATCCACTTGAGCCCCCAGGGAAGGTGGTCAGAATAGATCTGAGTATTCTGGTTGAATCAAGACTGGGTGTAACTGATGAGAGTCCAGGTTGAGCCCCTGAAGAAGTGTTGGTAGTGACCATAGTCAGTCTGGCAGGAGTGAGGAAAGTGGTCCCAATCAGTGTTTGGGAGACACCTGAAGAAGAAAGATCCCAGCCTTTAAAATAATTTTTGTCCATAACCTCTTTTAGGAGAAGGGGATTGGATCTGCCCTCACCACTGCAGAGAACTCCTAAATGCCTGCATCTTAGTCTGTGGAAGCCTCTATGAGCAGTATTCTGGAAGCCAGTAGAGGGACCTCTGCAAGTGTTCAATCAGGGATTTAGTGTTGATGGTAGGAAGCAACTGTTGCTTGAACCCCAAACCAACTTTTGGTTCTATCCCTAGAATCCTGAATGTCTAGAAGTATCATAGGGACTGGACACACACACACACACACACACACACACACACACACACACACACACTTTTCCCCCCTTATGTCAGGGTCTTAACCCCTCTCTGAATCCAATGTTTTGGGAAGGATAGGACAAAGACATAGCCTATCTCTAGTATCTGATGGAATGGTGCTCATATTAGGCTCCTTTAAAAGTGAGTTTTTTTACATAAGAGTCACTAGGATATTAAGGATAAAAACAAATTAAAACATCCCAAATGGAAACAAGAAACTTTGTAAACAACTGAACTTATGAAATAAGCTCCTGATCTATATGCAACTAAAGTTGAAGTGTTCTAGGGCACTAGAAGGACATGGAGTTTGGATAAAATCAGCATTACCTTCTATGATGATGTTTCACTCTGGAAATGGTGGCTAGCTGTGTCCAACTTGGCTTATTCATGTAGTGTTCTTTCCCCTCCTTGCCTCATTTCCTTGTATTATTAGTGAGATGAACTGCCTGCTGCTAAAATTATAAGGTCCTTCAAGGTCAGAGAGGGACTCTGACTCATGCATCCCATCTACTCTTTCCTTACCTCCACTCCCATTCTAGCACTGCCCTTTTCTAAGCCTTTAATTCAAGTCTGTAAAAAACAAAAAACAAAAGCAAAAAAAAACTTAAAAAAAGAATTTTGATTTTTTTTGTGTATGTTTTTTGATGATTTCGCCACCTCTACTTAGAACAATTATTTATCCTCTCCTTTCTCTTTCATTTGCTAGATATTTATTGAGAATTTATTGTGTGGCCAGGCATATTGCTTGTCAGCCAACTTTCATCATACCTCAATGTCAAATATCTCACAAATTGTACCTCTGGGTGGTATGTCTCTTTCTCTATGTCTTTTCACTCCTGGGTCTGAGTTATTAAAAAGATCTCTCCAGCTCACTTCTTCCTTTGAGGCTGAACTCAGACATGTCACTGACTGTACTATTTTTAAACATCTGATTTCCTTTTGCTTTGGGTCCTTTCTTTCACCCTAGCTATTTCTTCAACACTAGAAATTGGTTCTTTTCTTTATCCCCAACTTAATCTATTTTGAACCAGATAAAAATTGGACAATAGATACCTCCAAGGAGACAATAGCTATAAACTGGATCCAGTTGGGAGAAGCCTTGCTGATCTTCCAGTCCAAGGTTTCTTAACCATTTTTTTGTGCTTTTTAACCAAGACTGACCAATCTTAGTCTTCTGAGAATGATGTTTTTAAATGCATGAAATAAAATGCAGAGGATTATGAAGGAAACCAATCATGTTGTTATTGAAATATTTTTTAAAAATCTCCAAATTGCTGACATAATATCTATTGTTTTGCTGATTCATTAAATAACAAGATGTAGTAGTGGGTTTAATAAGTACTGTAACTTTTTAAAGTAATGGTGAACATAATGATATTTTGAGGTATATACAACAATTGTAATATGATACAAAAATATGGATGGTTTCTACTGGAGAAGAATCACTGCTACTAATACTATTGTGGTTTGCTGCTTACATACAAATCAAAGAAAATGTTACATATCAGTAACAGGTCAATGAAAATAAATGTATATTTTTTCCCATCCAAGTTCATGGACCTTCTGAATTATTCATTGACTCCTTGGGTGTCTGTGACCTCCAGGTTAAGAACACATGAGTTATGGTGCAGGTGAGGAAACTGAGGAAAGCCCCTGTGGAAAAAGCGAAAAGAGGTTCTATTCTTAGAAAGAGATGAGCTGCATTTGAATTTAAATGTAGCTCAGTAATGAGTTTAAAGTCAGTACCTCTACCCTACCCGTTTCTTTCATTCATTCAATAAATATGTTGAAACTTACTATGCATCAAGCACTGGACTAGCAATTGGGCATTCACTGGACACTGTTCTTATAAGGTATATAATTCTAGTGAGGAGTTAAATATTGACAGATATGTATAAGTGGGTTTACATACTTAGAAAGGGACAATATAGATTTTTGTGGGAATATATAATGAAGGAAATTTAAACTGTGTAGTTTAGTATGTCAAGGAAGGCTTCTCTGAGGAAGTGATGTCTAAGCTGAGACCTAAAGATAAACAGGAGCATGATCAGATTTGCACTTTAAATACAGTCTTAGGCTACATAATGACAT